TTGTTTGGCCCTGCGTGGAAGCCCCTCCGTGAAGCAGGAGAAAAAATCCAGCTGTAGAGGGGTTGTCCCCAGAACTGCAGACGCAGCACTTTCTCATTAAGCTAGCTACTACCTGGTGTCGACAGCAGCTAGTAGGCCATTATGTACTAGTCTGTTTAGCGATGTCCTCAATACAGAATCCTAGATACTCTATGTTCGTTCCCCCTTCGGTAGCTCAGCTGGTAGAGCGGAGGACTGTAGTATTTCCCTACCTGGTTATCCTTAGGTCGCTGGTTCGATTCCGGCTCGAAGGAGGGGTTGACGTTTTGAGGTTTGCCGCCACCCAGTGAGCCGTTGCTCTACTGTTTCTTACGTCGTTTTCACTCTTCTAGAGTCCTTTTCTCCAGAACTTACCCCACCGCAAAGATAAACTTAGCTTACTTGCAAGAATTTATACAAGTATCACACCTTAAAATACTGCTCTTGTTGGCCACTCTTTTTAATAAAAGGGGGATTGTACACTAACTCTTCAAACCATCTGGAAAGTTTCTGAGTTTGATGTTTTAGCTGAATTTAGTTTTCAGGTCCAAAGGTTGGAGACCCAAGACTACTCTTTGGTACAGAATACATGTGTGTGTGTGTGTGTGTATGTGTATGTGTATGTATATAATATATAGATACATATATATACATAAACATACACACTGGGATATATATATATTTATATTTATATTTATATATATTTATATATTTACATATCCTGCGGCCCTTGGGACTTTAATTTGCAAGACAACCCCCGAGACCTTCATTTACTCTAAACACACACACACACACGCACTCACACACACACACTCATTCAGGTGAAGGCACTTTTAATTTATTCATCTGTTTATACATTTTTATAGTTCCGTAAAACCATTTTGAGCTGGAGCAGGAAGGAGGAATAGGATTTGAAGTGAATTGGGATGAGACTGGGAGAGAGAATTTCAGACTGAGGAAACGATTTAAGCAAATCATGGGGAGAAGAAACATTTGCTTCGCACCAAGGAAAATCGCAAGGGGTCTGGACTTCCCGAACACGCGCCAGGCTGGTTCACCTCCAACAGAGCAAAATAGTGGCTCCCCGTATTTTGATGCCCGTTAGTTCTCCCCCTAGGATTTTATACTCGCTCGAGGTAGTAGCAGCCCGACAGATACACATCCCGTGCGTCCGTGCCAGGGCTCAGGACACTACAGTCTTGCAACCGACCCCAGCTCGGGCCCTAAGGCTCCAGCTTGTTTCTCTCCAGGCTCCCTCCAAGCTGGAGTTCAGGGCTGGACTGTTCCGGGAGGGACTTGTTGGAGTTCAGACAGGCGGCCTGATGTCTAAAAAGCTGCCTCTCCTTGCCTCATCCAGCGTCTGGAGGGGTCCAGGACATGGACGGGGGAGAACAAGCGAAGCTAGAGTCAGAGGGAGACGCGAGAGTTCATGAAAATGGAAGAGCTAAACAAAGCCAAAGGTAAATGTCACACTAGAAAACAAAATTCCAGAGCTGGGTGTTGGCCGATCGCTGACGGAAAAGTGAGATCCAGGGAAAACATAGGCAAGAGCTTGCCCAAAGTGGCTCGTTGGTCTAGGGGTATGATTCTCGCTTTGGGTGCGAGAGGTCCCGGGTTCAAATCCCGGACGAGCCCAAGTTTTTGAAAAAATTTCCTCCCTTTGGTAACTGCTGAAAAAAGTTTAATTCTGTACAAACTTTCCCGCTTTCCAAGCTGTTCTACAAAAGAGAGGCACACTGATGGAACTAGTGGTAGGTGGGCGCTGATGACGTGTGCCGGGCGAAACTGCCTGGCTTCCTGGAATCTCGCCAGCGGACGCCTGGAGGGGCAGCCTCACGCCCGGGAGCAGGGGTCAGGGTCCCGCAATCTGCGGCCCCCAGAAGCCCTGTCCTCGTGGCCCAGGGACGTAGAACTCGGATCTCCACGCTCGCTCCCTGCCCAGGTGGGGACCCACCCGCTCCGCCTGGGGCGGGGGCTGCTCTGACGCCTGCTTCAGAGGCGGGTCCTGGCTGGGCGGCGTCGGGGGCGCCTCATCCGAGAAACGGGGCGCGGTCCCAACTACAAAAATGCTCTCACTCTGACCCTCCTCGCCTCTTTGCATCTCCACGCCGTCCGTGTACACACACATATGCACACTGACCGCACGCAGATCTAAACAGAGATTCAAAAGAACACCTTTGCTCTTCTACCGGCTACCCATCGTCATCACTGGGAGGAGAAGCGGGTGAGAAACAAAAACTTCTCTTTTCCCAGTCCTGCCCTTTTTCTGCAGCTTGTTCCGAGGCCGAGGTGGGTTCACACTCGTGTTCCTCCATCCCCTCTCCCCTCCTGCTTTTTGGTAGCTTTATCAGGGGCATTTGGGCCGCGGGAGTCCCTTCTTAGCAGAGGCAGTGTGGGGCTCCTCCAGGAGGCGTTTGAGGGACGGAATTGGAGGATCCGAGGAATGGGAAGGAAGTAGGTGAAGTTCAGTTCCTGTAGAGTTCGCCATTCCGATTCCTACTCGGGTGCTTATTTTCTGCAGCTCAGTACAGAGGCCAGCGTGAATGTCTTTTGCCTAGAACATGGGCTCAAAGGAGGACTCCAACCGAAGGGAAATCTGGGGAAGCCTACCTGTCCTCCAAACTAAGGATTCTTTGCTTGGTACCCAGGTTAATCGCCAGATTTATGGAACAGGCCTTGTTCAGTTTTTGTGAGCATTATTGAGAACTCACGTTTTCCTTTTCTGTTTACTTATCTCTTACCTGGACCTTAATCCACCCTCAGCCCGAGTTGTGGAATTCTTTGAGACACTTTGCCAACATCCTCTTCTCTAAGCTTTCTTACTGGAACTTGGGATCCTCAGTTTTCTTACTCTAAGACAGCACATCAAATGGTATGAACACAGGGCTTGCTTAGGAAAGACAGTTTAAAACAAAACAAAACAAAAACATTTTCAGCACCATTCTGGGGACGGGGTAAATCTCAAATAGGCTGCAGGGGAGCAGAATTTGTCAGCCCAAAATATCTCTTTGGCATATTTTAAGCTGGTTATTTTCTAAGAAACAGCAGACTAGGGGAAAATCCTGAAAACCTAGCAGGAATTCCCTTTTTGTAAGAAAAACAGTAATGTTTATAAGGGAAATCTTCATTTGTAAGGGTGGCTCCCTCCCTGTACCAGGAAGAGGAGGATGACCCAATCTTTGCAAACTCCTGCCAAGGGAGAAGGCAGAGACTTAAGTTTGCATAACAATCTTACCTTTGTTCACTGTGCTTTTCCTGGTAACCTCCCACATCTAAGTTGCCCCACCCTCAACATCCTCTTTTGTCTTTACCTGAGGATGGTATTTAAACAGAGGACCTCTGCCATTTTGGAGAGTTACTCAGTTTTCCTGGATCTCTCTGCGGTGTACTTGTTATTAAATATCTCTTTGATTTTCTTCTGTTAATCTGTCTCATGTCAATTTGATTCTTTGACCAGCCAGAAGAACCTAGAAGGGTAGAAGAAAATGTCCTCTTCCTGGACAGAGCCAAGACCTTTCCTGTGTCATTAAGAACCTCATGATCAAGTCATAAATGTAATCACTGGAGACCCAAGTGACATAAATTATCTGAATAGCATATGGCTAACTTCCCAGAAGCAGCCACAGATATTCAAAGTGCTACTTGGGGTTTATAGCTCAGTAGTAGAGTGAGTGCTTAACATGCATAAGGTCCTGGGTTCAATCTCCCCCAATATCTCCATTAAAGATAAATAAATAAACCTAATTACCCATCCCCCCCCCCCAAATTCAAAGAGCTACTTAATTACGTAAGCTGCTCACGAGTTATGAAAGCTGTGTGGTGCATTGGGAAGCTTCTAGTCCCTGGAAAGGCAGATGTTCACTGGGCGATACATGTTCTTCCTTTGCACCTCGTCTGTAAAGTGACGGGTTGGCAGATAGTGTCTGAGCTCCTCCGCTTAGATCCCAGTCCTTATTCTGACTACAGGATGTTAGGAACGTGGCTTATATGAAAGATGTTATGTGGAGAACTAGTTTGGCAGAGAGGATGGGAAAAACCATTCCAGGAAAAGAGAAATGGCTCCAGCTATTGTTGAAAGAGCAGATGTGAGGTTATAAACAGGCAAAACCGAGAGGTTTGTCGAGTTACTGTTGGAAGCATTTACCAGTGTGATTCATAAAGTAAATTGCCAAGAATGTGGACCACAGTGGGCCAGTGAAATCCCTCTTTAGTCTTTATTTACTCTGTATTTGAGCAAAGAGCAATCTCTGTTAACAGCTATTCTCAGAAGAACACACTGAAATACCTGGGAAAGAGGGAATGGGCACAGAACCCAGAGTTTGTTGAAAGTGAATGTTTAATGTTTGTCTTTGTTTGGAAATACAAGCGTGTCAGCAGGACTCTGTCCCCATCCTCCCTCAATCAATAGTGTCCCCCACTTCCTGGAGTGGAGGTGGGATCCTTCTTTCTCTCTGGGCTTCATCCTCTTTTAACCATTACTTTGGTTATTAGATAAATTTCATGTCTATAGACCTAAAAACTGTTAGCGGTATAAAGGAATTTAGAGATTAACCCCTTGCCTTTATCCCAATAATTTCATAATTAGTCGTAAGGACAGAATGAAACACATGTAGTCTGTATAAAGGGGAAAGTACACCAGCACAAAAGTCCTTAGAAGGAGAACCCATGTTTCCTGTGTCCATGTGCAGGGAACCCACTATTGGCTTGAAGGAGAGACAGAAAAACATTTCAGGAAAAGGGGAATGACTTTAAAGTTCCAACTGTCAGAACATCTAAAAATATATAAGGATTAAAAAATATATATATATATATATGTGAGCTTTTTTTCTCAATTGGCAAGTGCTTTGCATCTATTAAAGTTACTAATAAAAAGATACACCACAGTCACAGGCTACAAGGCAGTCCCTCGGTAGCCAAGGGAAACTGGTTCCAGGACCTTCCAAGGATACCAAAATCCGATGCTCAAGCCCCCTATATAAAATGGCACGCACAGTGTTTGTATATAATCTGTGCACATCCTCCCTATACTTTAAATCATGTCTAGATTACTTATAATACCTAATACAATATAAAGGCCATTGCTGGGGCACAGCGAATTTAAAAGATTCCTTTTTGGAACTTTCTGGAATGCTTTTCCAAATATTTTTGGGCCATGGTTGGTTGAATCCAAGGATGGGGAACCTGTGGGTATGGAGGGTTGACTGTAATTCCTTATTATAAGTATTTTGACTAAGCCCTTACATGCATTTTAATGAGATAGCAAAATTTTTTTTATTCCAAAACCTTCTTTTCTGTTTCGTCATAACCTCATGGTGCCAAGCTGAAAAGAAAAACACTTAGAATGAAAGCAATCATCTGCCATTCACCTAGGTGGCTTCTGGCATTGTCAACTCTATGACAGGTTGTGAAATCTCCAAAGGGCGCCTGGCTAAATCCCCGAAACAAAAAAAGGACCCGCCTTGCTCAGAGACACAGTCTGCACCCTCTATACTCAGAGGCTGATCTCCATGTGAGCTGGTGTTTGCACTGGGCTTTGAGGCCACGGGACGGTACGTGTGTGACGTTGCAGTGGAGTATCTTATCTGCTTTTAGGCTGTTTACCAAAGAAGGGTGGGTGCTGTTGATCAAGTCACCTTAATCCCCACAGACAGTGGGAGCCCACTGCTCCTTCCTGGTCCAGGACTGCTGAGGCAGTAAGGGTGTTGCAATGGGCCTGGCAACCTCCTCTCTGATAAGCAACTGAAAACTTTAGGACTTTGCTTTTTGCTGTGTGTTCAAAAGGCAACGTATGATCAATTTAACATAAGGTTCCCCTCTCAAACACTGTGTTTGCCCACAAAAGGAAAAGTGAGCATCTGGGCACCTTGTTAGAATCCAGTACAGGCCCTGCATCCCTGTTAAAAAACCAAATTGTTTCGAGTAAATTTGAAGATCTAATTGGCTTTTTGAATGAGCCATGAATGGGGCAGCATCTCATCTAGTAAGTAAGAGAGGTGCTCTGAGGAGCTGTACAATGGAAGGCTTTTATAAGCGGAAGCTGGGCAAGTCAAGAAAGTTATAAGCCAAAAAAAAAAAAAGGTTGTTTCTATGCACAGGTAAGGATGAAAGAAAGGAGAAGCCCAGGAAATAACAGTAAGGATACTTCCGAGCGTTAGTAGCTGGGAGGCTGAGGTCAGGGGCAGGGTGCTAACACCTGTCACATAACCCTCTCTGGAGGTGCCTTCCTGGTTCTGTGAATCCTACCTCCTACCTCCTACCGTTTCGTGGACCCAAGTCATGTGTCTAAACAGAAAGGACAGTGGAACTGCGTCTTGCTGGGAGCCCCCGTCTTGCTCTGCAGGCTTCTCCCAAGGCAGTTCTTGGAGCTGGCCCAAGAAACAGCATCGTCTGCACCCAGATCACTGCATGCTAACCATGAAACCTCAGTTCTTTTGTGGGCAAGAGTAAGAACCGTCCGTGGACATCAGAAAAAGGCAGCTTTGGGACCAAAGGCCATGTTCAGCACACTTTGCGTCCCAGAACAGATCTCTGATCCCCTCAGGTGGGTTAATAGTTGACCCAGTCATGCCCTGGAGAGGGTGACTCTCCTTGTTTGTCTAAGAGCAGTGTCCTTGGTTTTGATGTCTCTGCCAGGACTGGGACTCTTTAGATTAAGTCTCCTGACCCAGTTCATCTGATCCCTATTTAATCGGAACCAGGAGGGGCCTCCAGGTTCACACCGCTGGACCCCAACTCTAGGAACAAGTGGCTGGAACCTCTCTTCAGTTGGAGGGAAACTTCCAGATTTTTGTAAGATTCTTCCTCCTGGGTAATCTATTGTTCTATTTATTTATTTATTAGGCATGTGTGTATTTATTTACTATTTCTAAATGTCCATCCTTTTCAATGAAACCATTTCCCCCCTTTTAAAGCCACTGGGCCCAAGCTCATGAATTAAGAAGAAAATGAATTAGATTCCAAAGTTTGAAATGAAAAGATTTCTTTTACAATATCCTATATGTAGCTAAAGGGAAATTGGTGAGACTGGGAGTAAGTGGAGGTTTAGGAGGGATTCCTAAATTGTGATTAAGTCCCCAAAGATTTGGGAAAGCTGCTTGCTGAAGGTCATCCGGAGTTCCCCTGGATACAGGCATTATGTATGACTTAACAAGAAAAGCAAGATAAAATATATTTTTAGCTGTTTTCTTGTAATCTTTCCTGCTACTTTCTTTCCTTCAAGCTTTAGGGGTTGAGTGGGGTCGTAGGAGAGGAAGGGGATATAGCTCAGTGGTAAAATGTGTGCTTAGCAT